CAGAGAGAGAGAGAGAGAGAGAGAGAGAGAGAGAGAGAGAGAGGGTTTTTTCGGGTGAGAAAGCAATTAAAAAGAATTACCTCAAATGTCTTGCGTACCTATGTATTTATAGTCTACTTGTGTGCTAGGGTTTTGGGAGAATAATCCAGGATTATTCTTCCCCAAAATCCAAGAGGAAATTATTCCAAGAGATTTGGTGGAGATTGGTTCCCTGATTTAGGGAGATATTCCTATCTAAAATCAAAGATAATTTCCCTAATTAAATAGACTTTAATTATGGTAATTAGTTTGACCTAAGAAGTATTCCTTTTCCACGTGTTGTCTTCTTATTGGCCGGTGAAATATATGTTCTCACAAATGCGCCCCCCAACTTCTGCATTGCGATTGTGAGGCATGGAGGCGATGAGAAATATTTACTGGGCTTTCTTCCTTGAGTTGGGCTTCTAATTGGAGTAGGCTTTTGACTTCTTCTTGGAGTTGGGCTCCCAATGGTAATAGGCTTGTAATTCCTCCTTGACTTAGGATGCCTAACCTTTATAAATACAAAGCTTCTTTTCACTCCTCTTCAAATTGCAAACTTTTCATCCTCTACTTTCTAACTTGTGAGAGAGATTTTGAATGAATGTACTGATTGTCGAGGAGAGGAGTCGCGGTGCACGCCAAGGTAGGTCGATTTTTTTTTCGCAGCTAGGACAAGCTGGGTGGGCCCGACTGGTTGTCGTCATGAGCAACGCTACTGCAGGCTCCCATGAATTTCCCTTTTTTTTTTGCGGCGAGGACCTGCTGGGTGGGCTTAACTGGTTGTAGTTGTGACCACATGGGGTGGCCAGCACGGCCAGCTATGATGGTGACATCGATTGCTGGAGTAGGCTACTACCGTTTTTTTTTCATGTCATGGGCCAGGCCCATTTGACTGATGCGGTGCAGTGATGGTGCATCCTGGAGTTGTGGAGGCGATGACGAGCTGCAGGCCTGGTGCTATTTGGGCCGTGCAAACGGTTTGGTGTGGATTGGGGCATGCCTACTGTTCCTTTTTTTATTTGGTCGCAACTTAGGGTTTTGATATGCTATCAACTTAGGGTATATTATTCTTATTCAATAATATAAGAGAATTATTTGTATAATACGTGAATTTTGTGTGTTTTACTAAAAATTTTGCAAAAATTATGTTTATTATGCATTAGAAATACGTACGTACATATGACTAACAACATAGCATCTCGCAATATCTAATCAGCCGTATTTACAAATAATGGAAATCTTATTTTGCATTAGAGTCTGGGTTCTAACGAAAATTATGACTTCTTAATTATCATTGGCTCAAATTCAGCCATATTTTTATGTAGTCACATATCACATATAAACCGATTTGGCAGCTGATACAGGATCAGCTTAACTTTTGTCCATTTATTCAATTTCATAATCTCTGGAATTTTGGTTAAGGTCGGATGACATATCCTCTTTACAATATGAGCCAACAATTCAAGAGATGGAGTTCTATGAATCGATTGAATTAGTTATGTCTTTATAATTTTATGTGCTTTATTAATGTATTATATATATAATATGTACATCTGACTAATGTTTTAATGTGTTTATGTTTTTTTTTATGTAGATATCATGATTTCATCCACACCTAGCACCACAGCTCCAGCTACTTTTCAATGTTAGGAGGAATTTAATGAAGTTGGATTGAATTTGGGTTGTAATATATATTTGGATTGAATTTTGGTTGTATTTGGCTTGTAATTTATTTTAGAACTTATTTTGTTGAAGTTTGATTGAATTTGAGTTGTAATTTATATGTTGAAGTTGGATTGAATTTGGACTGTATTTTTGTTGAAGTTTGATTCATTTTGATGTGTTGAAAGTTTGATGGAACCTTAAATTTTGGGTATATTGGTATATAAATACATTTTGGGCAGGTCTGTAAAAAAATAAAAAAAATAAAATTTTGGGCCCATGCCCAAATCGGAACAGCAGGAACCGAACTAAAATCGGACAGGTCCGGGTTGGTTCGGATTTCTATATGGATTTTTAAGCAGAATCGGTCCAAATCAAACCAGTCTACATTTTCGATTCAAATTCCATTTTTTAACGAAAACCGGTCCAAACCGGACCGTGCTCACCCCTAACATTTACTCATTGCAGAGAAGATATACAAAACACTCTTTGAGAGATGCAAATTACAATGGTACCCTTTATTCACCCAACACGTATGGCATCACCATAATGTGCAGTTACATGCAGAGGTGAGATTCACAATACAAAAATTAGAGGAAAAAAATTTCAACTATGCCTCTGCCTGTGTTAATTGTGGTGGTGGGCTCTGCTTTGAAATTCTTTTGTAAAAAGAAAAGAGGGAGGTCCAGAGAAGAAAGATGAGCAAAATGGTGGCAAATATGGAGACGCCGACGGAGAATCCTAGATGGTTGCAGAAGGTGTTGTAAACGTTGCAAAACTCCGACCAGTTGAAGTTATCGTTGCCCATTTGTAAGGTATATACAACAAAGCCAAAGCTGCCAGTGGCCGAGGCTACCAGCCCCAGTGTCAACTGTCACATTATAATTTTGCACGGATTAGTTTAATTTTGTGTTTACTTAAGAAAAAAAAAATGTAACACATGGAGAAAGAGAGAGCTAACATATAGTGCAAATTTAGCTAGGTTCACTTTGGAGAGAGAGAGAGAGAGAGAGCTAACCACATCAAAAAACGCAAAGAGGAGCAACATTGTTGGGGAAGTTGGAGCTAAGCTGACGTAGCACAAGTAAATAGATTTTCAAGTGAAAATCCTAAAGAAAGATAATCTAGAATCCACCAGGAAATTAGAGAGAAAATTCTCTTTGATTATTTGATAAAAGTCGAGATGCTCTCAACCAAGCATGACAGCTGATTAAATACAACGTTCTCACCCTTTGGACTGCCCTGGGGAGTTATTGAAAACGTAACAGAAAAGAAACGGAAAGTCTGTAAATTGAATACAATTTTTAAATGAACTTTTGGAAGGCCAAATGACCTCAGAAGCCCAAAAGCCACCATATGTCACAGCAAAGCTGTGAGTTGGACTCGTGACGTTCTTCCCTTTTCGAGATGGTATTATGTAACTCAATCGGAGCTCAGACGCCAAATCTGTAAATTCCTGCCACGTCCTTTTTCACTTCTTCGCTCCAATTCTTCTTCACTCCAATTCTTCTTCAATCAATTAGAAAATCCCAACGATACGCCTTCCTTCTTTTCCTCGTGCCATGATTGACCATATTTCGTCCTACATCATAAGCAGATGACTAAACAAGATGATAACTTAATAATGATGTTATAAAGGCCTGCCACAGAGAATACCACCACAAAGTATCTGCACATATGTAATCAATCTTCAAAAAAAAATAACAAGTTTTAAAACAATATTAGTGACGATTTCATTGGATTGGCAACAACAGCTCCCTTAGCAAAAACATATTTTGCAAAACAAATTATTCGTAACAAACATTGAAAACAAAGGAAACAATTGACTAATAATGGTTGAGTTTGAGAGTGCTTTTCTAATAGTTTCAAAAGTGTTTTCTAAAGGCCAAAGGAAGACTTTGTAATTCATCTTGCACTCAATGGTTTGTGTTGTCTATTGTAAACAAATGTTAATGATAAGAAACCTTCATACTAAAGCACTCTAAAGAATACGCCTTCAAATTAATCTAGATTATACACATAACTCTTTGTAGAACGTTTGCTTTTGTTAAAGAACAGGTTTATATATCGATATTGTCAATAATGTATCAATTAGAGAAATGTTCTCGATACTTAGAGTTAGGGAGTTGCATGTATATATATTTAATTTAACTCACATGAAAGATGGTGACGCAGTA